ATAGCAAAACCAATCAATTTTACTAAAAGTTTTACAGCCAACAGTCGCATTTCAGTATTGAGATTTCCGACCTGTTATTGATAATACATATACTACACATATATTTTGGACTACGAAGAAATGGTTTGTAAATCCATGGAGGTGACAACTACTACCGTAATCTAAATATGATACCCATGACCTGCACAGGAAGGACGGAAACAAGCAATAAGCAAAACTGTTAAAAAGAAAAGAGAGTTGGGGATAAAAAAAAGAAACAGAACCAGAGAAACACTTCACTCACAGTTAGCCTCACGGAAGCATATAGGCAGGACACAACCCGAACCTCTCTGTACAGCTCCGTCAGGATAAGAGACTCTCAGAGTAGCAAAATAAACTAGAATAAAAGGTACACGGTAGTTTTGACCTAATGTGTTGTCCTCTCTAAGGCATGCCCTTATCTAGGCTATAACAATATATACAAATATGTTTGACTCACCCCCTAGACTGGACACGGGGTAGTGCCTGGCAAGAGAAGCAACTCAGGGCGGCACTACTAGTCCAACCTCTGAGACAAGGGTCCGAAGACCAGTCAACAAGAGTACAAACTCGACAAGAGCAAACCAGGGCGGCACTACTAGTCCGGCCACTGGAATAGAAGCCACAAGGCCAGTCAAGAAGGTATATATAAAGAGGAGTACACAATCAAGATCCTAGCAAGTGAGGAGCTAAAGGAACTAGACCAAGCTGCAAACAATGCTGCTGATGATCTTTAGGCGCAAACACCTTAGTAAAGATATCAGCTGTGTTGGCACCGGAGGCCAAGTGTACTACGCGGGCCTGGCGGCACTGCTGTAGCTCGCGCAGGAGGAAGTACCGCAGCTGGATGTGCTTCGCTCTGCCCTCGAGTCGAGGCTCTTGACACAGGAGGATCATGGCCCTATTATCGGCATACAGGAACGGGGTAGAGGTAGGCCGGTCACATACAACGACGGAAAGTATTGCCCGGATAATTGCCTTAAAACATTTCTCGTACTGGTTTGGTGCCTTCTTTGTTTAGTTACGAATCAAATTTCGGGGTTGGATGTAAAGTAGTACTGTACTGTATGTGACGGATGCTGGTTTCAGTTTTATAGGGGTCGATTTTTTACCGAGGACGAGATTTCGTCCGCGTGGGTGCATCCGGACAGTTTAGGCCAAGTAGCGTAGTAGATCTATTTCCTAACCTCGCTATTTCTTCTTACTTGCCCTCGCAACTATCGAGTAGTCGGGAGATAGGCTAGGACCGCTGCCTTGATTAGGCCGTCATGAAACCGTTAGATGAGGCGCTCTACGCATAGATCATTCCCTTGTTGCGGAGGGGGTAGAGCAATCGTTGAATCGCTAAACAGCTAGCCATAGGGAAGAGTTCGGCCCATCAAGGTGATTGTAGAGTCTAGCCGCGATGACGTGCGTCCTACGATGCCCTCAGCCGGTCGCCCTCGCTTAGTGACAGAGAGAGTTCGCCACGGCATAGTTCGGTCGATTACCCTCGAGGAGGCAGAAATCTCCGCTCACGTGGCGAAAATCGTTGAGAAGCAGCACGGCATCACGTTGCATCCTAAGACATTGCGTAACGCTTTGAATGGGAGCCGACTTGTCGCAATCAAGCATCCCAAGAAACCGCAACACTCTCGGAAAAACATACGCGATAGGCTGGAATGGGCGCGTGCCCACGCAGACTGGACGGTTGACGACTAGAAGCGAGTTATCTGTGCGGATGAGACCAAGATCGGTCGTCTTGCATCCGACTGACTCTCATACGCCTGCGTTCACGAAGGGACTGCCCTCCAAAGACACCAAATCAAGCAGACCGTCAAACACGGGGGCGGTTGCTTGATAATTTACAACTACATGCCGTAAAAGGGAGCGGGTTTCATGAGCAAAACATATGGTAGGGTGGACGGACTGCTCTCGCTGAGTATACTGCAGGACGATCTCAACAGTACGATTGAGCTTTACCAGCTTACACCCTCAAAAACTATCTTCCAGCACGACAACGACCCGAAGCACAAGTCGCGTATCGTATAGGAGTGGCTTTGAGAGTAAGATTCAGGGGTGCTAGAGTGGCCGTCTTCCTCACCCGACCTCAACCCAATGGAGCATTTATGGGCTCATCTCAAGAGGCAGCTGGCCAAGCCTTATAAGCCTCCCACTGGTATGCTGGACCTTTGGGAGCGGGTGCAGGTGAAATGGGAGAAGATACCGGCGGATGTGTGCACCCACCTGGTGGAAAGCATGCCCAGGAGGGTGAGGGCGGTGTCTAAGGCGAAAGGGCGGTGGATTAGGTACTAGTTTGGGGTTCATGTAACTTGCTGCTTGCGCCTGGCAATAATTGTCCACATGTACCAAGATTGTTATTTTCTAGTATTTGTTGTAAACATCATTATACTTGTGTGATGTAAGGCATGGGCGTGGAGCCTTACCCCAACCTACATACACTAGGCACACCAGAAGATTAAGTCTTATGTCCATGACCCCCTAAAATGGCAAAATTCCTCTAAGTCACAAACATGTGGACAATACTTTCCGTCGCTGTAAGTTGGTGAGCAAGAAGGTCAGCCAGTGGAGCTCCTGTGCCGCCATGGCACCGGCGTAGATCTCAGCCTCACACGTAGACTAGGCAACAGATGACGAGCACGTGGACCTCCACGAGATGGCACCTGAACCAAGGCTAAAGCAGTAGCCCTGGGACGACCTGAGTGTCTCACCATCATCTGCCCACGAAGCGTTTGTGTGCCTTGTAAGGACCACTGGCCTGCGTCCTCCCAGCACGAGTCCCATGCCCGATGTACTTGCTAGATAACGCAAAACCCTCGTAGGTGCCTACCACTGCTATGGTCGGTATCTCCATGTGGCCACAAAGCGTGCCATGATGGTGAAAGGGTATGCGAGATCTGGACGAGTGCAAGTCATCAGGTACATGAGGCAACCCACCAGCTCTGCGTAAGGACCACGGGGCTCTACTGACTCCTCAGGAACTGGAGAAGAGAGATTGTGGTCTACTGGCACAGGTGTGGGATGTGCAGAGGAGAACTGAAGACCGAATCTCTGAAGGACCTGGTGCACCAAGTGTGACTGTGTGAGAGTGATGGTGCGCGCTACTCTGTCCCTGGAGATCTGCAGGCCAAGGTAGCGGTGCGACTCTCCTAGGTCAGCACAGGTGTGTCTTCTCAGCAGCTCAGCCTTTACGGAGGCTAGTGCATCTCTGTCTGCCGTAGCGAAGACAAGGCTGTCTACGTAGACAAGGATGTAGAACGGAGTCTGGCCAGCACGAATGAAGAGCGAGCGGTCTGGAGATGATGAGAAGAACTGCAGGTCAGCTAGCGTTGCCCACAGTGGGTCATGCCACTCACGGGGCGTCTGCCGCAGGCCGTAGACCAGGCGCCGGAGGAGCCACTGGGTCCCAGGAGGGAAGGTACCGGTGAAACCCTGTGGATGGCGCATGTAGACCTGCTCATGTAGACTGCCCTGAAGAAACGCTGTGGAGAAGTCGATGGAGTATAGCTCGTAGTCACACTTCTGCTGCGGGGAGTCTCGTAGGGAGTACGACTGGGTGATGCCGTCCGCACGACAGAACTATCCAAGCCGACCGGATGTGAACTCGCCGCCACGGTCAGAGTGGAGACACAGCACAGGGAGACCGCGGTGGACGCGCGTAGCTACGACCCATGGGATAAGAACGTTAGGCACGTTGGCCTTCCGCTCCAGGGGGAAAACAGTGGTGTAGCGCGTGCAAGTCGACGAGCACGAGAAAGTAGTGCTCTCAACGCGGCCCCGGGACGGTGGATGGGCCCTAGACGTCCAAGTGCAGGGTTTGGAGTGGCGCGGTGGCAAGGCGAAGCAAGGAGGAGTGAGGAGCACGGTGCAGCCGGCCCTCGACACAGGGCGTGCATGGCGGCGCAGGCGAGGGAGGGAGAGCAGGGAGCGACGTAGGTAGACCTAGGACGAGATCGTGATGGGACATGTGACGCAGACGTGGGAGTGCGGGGTGACCTAGGCGATGGTGCCACAGTAGCAACAGGTGAGTGAGCAACCGACACGAGCAAGCAGCAGCGACCTGGGTACATGCAGGACCCGGGGAGGACGCGCCCACCGGGGGGGAAGCAGTGTCCAGCGTAAACAGGCCAGACACCGATCCCGGGGGAACGTCGCAAGGGGGGCACCTGAGGCGGCCTCGGTACAGACCGCGTGCCACTCGTCACAAGGGAACGTAGTGGTGACGCCAAGGTCCTGAAGACAGCCGAAACCAACTAGGTTCCTGGAGAACGAAGGGATGCGCAGGCCTGTAAGAGAACCTGAGGGAAATGCTGGACAGGGAGGGGTAGTGTAGCTACGGGCAACGATAGGACTGGAGGAGGGGTCAGCAAGTGCGACAGTGGCAGGCGCTGCAAGCGGCATCAGCACGGCGTGGTCGCGGAAGAAGCAAATAGACGCGCCAGAGTCAAGCGTAAAGGAAAGCGAAGTGGAAGTTGCGGCCGGTGGAGGAACGAGCGTGGAGCCTGGACTAGATAACGCAGAACGTCCTACACTTGACGCAGCAGGGGAGTCTGTACTACACACATGTAACACACCTTAACTAGGCAACACAGGATAATAAGATCCGGGCACACTAGAAGCATCAGCATACAAGGAATGTAGGGCAGAATAGATCTGATCCATATCTAACTCAAAGACAGGCACACCGTGGCACAGCAGACTGGCCCAGTCTGGGAAATCTGGCGCTGGGCCGAAGCGGCGACGAAAGAGGTCGTCGAGGCGGTGGAAGCAGCAGGCGGTCGGGTGCGGGCGACGACACACAGTTCCGCGAAGGGAGCAGGTCTGGAGCTGGTACTGGCAACCCCCAGCCCCGATGCTTCCGGCCGACGCCAAGCTGCGAGGGCCGCCAACGTGGCCACCACCGCTAGAGGCACCGAGCCACCTCGGCGGGAGGCGGGCCCATGACTGCTGCTGCTGCGGCAGCTGCTGCTGCTGCTGGGCACCAGCCCCGGTCCCCTCATTGGACCCACTGTCCCCGCCCCCACCTCCATCACCTCCACCACCCCCACCACCCCCACCACCCCCACCACCACGCCCCCCTTTGGGGCGGCGGCCCCGGCGCTGGCGCGGCTATGCGGAGGCCGCAGCTGTGGTCTCAGTGGCAAGGGCTGTCGCGATGACAGCGGCGGAAATGTCAGTGTACGTGCACTGGGAGGGCGCACAGCCCTGAAAGATAAGGACTGCCGCATTACCGCTCGACTGAGCGATAGTGCGCTGGCGAGTCTCTATATCAGACAGGGCGGTGACAAAGGCAATAAGGGTGAGGTGACCTGGGTGCTGACTAAGGAAGTGGTCGCGGGCAGTGGCTAAGCGGTCCAGAAGGCGCATGGCAATGAGGTACAGGGTAGCGCAGAACGGCGGGGGGAAGGCAGTAAGCTGGCCCTCATTGCTAGCAGCACAGTAGCTAGCCTCTAGTGCACGGAGGTGAGTGGCTAGGTCAGCTACAATGGGGAAGGCGGCGAGATCAGGGAACAACATGGGGAGGATCAGGTGGCCAGCAGAGGCGAAGGCGGTCGTGGAGTAGCGCGCAACTACGGCATCTACAGTCCTTGGCATTCGCGACAGTAGTAAAGCGCGAACGCCAAACAGGGGAAGTGCTTGACTAATGGCAAGCTTCGCTACGGCATCGCGCGAATCCCAGACAGCGTGAGCAAGCGTAGCAGAAGAAAAGGCCTCACGCTGAGCAATGGTAGGGTTAGGATCAGGCGGGGGGGGGGGGGCGGGGAAGCAAGCCATCAACATGCACAGCCAGGGAGTGCCCATCCTGGCGCTGACCTGTGAGGTGACGGCGTAGATCGACAAGCCAGGCGGCGATGTCGAGCGCATGCCCCTCCGCGTCCAGGCGGAATACAGAGTCCGCCATCGTACGGCCTCAGCGACCCGACGCCACGGTAGCACGGTGACACAGCGGCACAGCAACAGAGCGGTGCAGCGACACAGTGGCACAGCGACACGGCGACACATCGACACGGCTATTTGGCGACACGGCGACACGACTCCACGGCGGCACGGCTCCACGGCAGAAAGGACGGCGACCACGACCGAGGCAAGCGAGGCACGTCGACCGGTGGGGCCGCGTAAGGCCGTGGCGGGGCTCACCGGGCCAGCGGCACGCAGAAGGGCCGGTGGGGCACAATGGGCCAGCAGGAGCGCGAGGAGGCTGGCGAGGCGCAAAGCGCTAGCGGAGCGCGATCGGCCGGCGGGGCGCAAGAGGGCTGGCGGGGCGCGAAACAGCCAGCGGGGCGCGAGGGGCCGGCGAGGCGCGAAAGGGCTGGTGGGGCGCGAAACGGCCAGCCGGGCGCGAGGGGCTGGCGGGGTGCAAAAGGGCTGGCGGAGCGCGAAACGGTGAGCGGGGGGCGAGGGGCCGGCGGGGTGCATAAGGGCTGGCGGGGCGCGAAAGGGCCTTGCGGGGCGCGAAGGGCTGGCAGGGTGCGAAGGGCCTGGCGGAGCTCGAAGAGCCTGGCGGGGCGCGAAGGGGGGCCCGCAGGGCGCGAAGGGCCGGTGGGGCGCGAGGGCCTGGCGGGGCGCGTAAGGGACCAGCGGGGCGCGAGGGCCTAGCGGTGCGCGAAGGGGGGCCAGCGGGGCGCGAGGGGCCGGCGGGGCACAAAGGGCCTGGCGAGGGCCCGAAGGGGGGGCCAGCGGGGCGCAAGGGGCCGGCAGGGCGCGTAGGGGATGGCCAGCAGGGCGCTAAGGCCAGCAGGGCGCTAAGGACAGCGAGGCGCTAAGGCTAGGGCTAGGGCGGAAGCTGGTGGGCGGACCTAACCTCGCTCTGATACCATCTTAGAGTAGCAGAATGAACTAGAATAAAGGGTGCACGGTAGTTTTGACCTAATGTGTTGTACTCTCTAAGCCATGCCCCTATCTAGGCTATAGCAACATATACAAAATATGTTTGACAGAGACATCTCAAGATGGCACAGCTGTACACACGTGATAAAACAAGACGAAAAAGCGGGCATACACAGGTAGGCTATGGCAAACCGCAAAGATGTGCCTTACCCTTAATTGTAAATGGCAGCGAGCCACTGTCGGAAATGAGAGGAGTTATAGAAAACAATTGAATAAAGACCACATCAGGGGAAAACGGCAGAGATCCAAATTTCTGGAAAAAAAATAATTGCCTTGGTTCTGGAAAAACAAAAAGCAATGGTCAGAAGTGACAGAACGCCGTAACACGAATGCTATCCACCCGGATAGGTGCCCCCCCCGGGGATAGGACCCAGGGTCCTTTATTCAACTAATAGGGCTTATGTGCCTTATTTCATTATTAGCCCCTCCCCCCTTGAAGAGCACTTCGTCATTTAAGCCCCTCAGAGTGTAAAAGAGTAATGTAATCTATATCGAAAAATCACCTAGATTTTGCCGACATTTGCCCACCTTCCACGAAATTCTGCACTTGAGAGTTCGTCGGAGCGTGTTTTTGCCATATGCACACACCTGTCAACGACCTCACGTCAGGAAACCTCGCGTCATAATTCTTCGGTCTTGCGCAATGTACACATTCGATTTCGTAATACGACGCGGCTCGTTTCGTCATGAATTTGACGCGAGGTTGAATCCGATATGAGCTGTAGAAACGCGCCTAAACAAAGGATCAGATTTCGAGCACACGCAGAGCAGGATTCTCATTCACTCTTTAAAGCCCAGGTTCCAAGTTACAAGGCGCTAGCTTTTTGTTAACAATTCTGGAATGCGTTTGGATGGTTACCCCATGCACTCTGTGAATAGCAGAGCCGAACAGGAAATGGTGGCTTCTTATTGGGGGATGTGGGAAAACAAGTTTCACATACTAGCGCAAACTCCAACCAAGGTAGGGAAAATGGCTTAGGGAAAATGTTGACAACCGAGGACTTGTAAATTGGGACCTGCAGAAACACCATTTTGTTTACAACGCCCAGCTACTAGCATAAGCACACGAGCCTAGTAGTCCATGGCTCAAAGCATATGCCCCTCAGTAGCCCTGTAGCCCTCCCCTCTTTCCACATCACCCCTCCCGCTTCCCACTAGCCTCCGCTACTTGCTTCTGGTTGCTCCCGCCTAGGCCCCACCACCAAGAAAGCTGCTTCAAGCCCAAGCTTCACGACGCGCAAAACGAATCGTGGTTCCCGCGTCCCGCTTTCCGCTTTCCTACTTCCCGATTCCTGCATCCCACTTTCCGCTCTCCTACTTCCCGATTCCCGCGTCCCGCTTTCCGCTCTCTTGCTTCCCGATTCTCGCTTGCCCCTTCGCCACTTCCCTCTACTTCCCGCTTCGCACGTTCTGCTGTCCACTTTCCTTTTCTTCCCCCTCCCGCTGATTTCCGCTACCCACCGCGGCGCGCTACCGCTTTCCGCTCCCGCCCCCTGCTTCCCTCTGCTTCCCGCTTCCCACTGCTTCCCATTTCGTGCTCGCCGCTTCCCACAGCGTCTCGCCGGTTCCAGCTGCTCCCCGCTTCCCGCGGCAACCCTCGCGCCTGGTTCCCGCCACCTGCTTCCCGCTACCCGTGACGTGCCCCCACTCACGCTGCTTCCTGCCTCCCGCTGCTCCTTACTTCCCGCCGCTCCCCACCCTCACTCCCCACTTCCCGCTTCTTCCCACTTCCCATTCCCCATTCCCGCTTCCCTCTTCCCGCTTTCCGCTTTCTGCTGCGTTGTACGTGAGGCGTGCAGCAGGAGAGGGGAGGGGGAGAGAGAGAAACGTCCTTTCAGGGAGGAAATGAGGCGTAATGGCAGGGAGGGGGAGAGGATTCCCTTTACGGAGTGAGTGAGTCGCAAGAGCAGGGGGAGTGTGGCGTCGCTGTAGGGAGTGAGTCAGGCGTGAGAGTATGGAGGGAGAGGGAGCGAGGTTGAACCGAGGCAGGGAGGTAGAGTGAGGCGTGGGAATAATGAAGGAGAGTGAGAGAGACAAGAGAGTAGGAAGGGAGAGTGAAAGACGAGAGAGTAGGGAGGGAGAGTGAGAGTGACGAGAGAGTAGGAAGGGAGAGTGAGAGACGAGAGAGTAGAAAGGGAGAGTGAGAGAGATGAGAGAGTAGGAAGAGAGAGTGAGAGAGATGAGAGAGTAGGAAGGGAGAGTGAGAGAGACGAGAGAGTAGGAAGGGCCAGTGAGAGAGACGAGAGAGTAGGGAGGGAGAGTGAGAGAGACAAAAGAGTACGGAGGGAGAGTGAGAGAGAGGAGAGAGTAGGGAGGGAGAGTGAGAGTGACGAGAGAGTAGGAAGGGAGAGTGAGAGACGAGAGAGTAGGAAGGGAGAGTAAGAGAGATGCGAGAGAAGGAAGGGAGAGTGAGAGAGTAGGAAGGGGGAGTCAGAGAGACGAGAGAGTAGGAAGGGAGATTGAGAGAGACGAGAGAGTAGGAAGGGCGAGTGAGAGAGACGAGAGAGTAGGGAGGGAGAGTGAGAGAGATGAGAGAGTACGGAGGGAGAGTGAGAGAGAGGGGAGAGTAAGGAGGGAGAGTGAGAGAGTAGGAAGGGAGAGTGAGAGAGTAGGAAGGGAGAGTCAGAGAGACGAGAGAGTAGGAAGGGAGATTGAGAGAGACGAGAGAGTAGGAAAGGCGAGTGAGAGAGACGAGAGAGTAGGTGTCACAGGATCGAATGTGTCGAGGAAAGGTAATAAGAAAAGGGACAAGTGGTGTAACGGGGTCGTACTCTCACACTTCCCCCCCTCAAAGCTGGGTGGTAGAAGTAACACCCTGCTTGACAAGGTAGTCATGCAGAGGGCGACGGGCGTTACCCATGTCGGACTCAGGGACCCAGCTGTCCTCAGAAGGATCATAACCCTTCCAACGGATGAGAAGCTCCACGGTGCCATTCAGACGTCGGCGGTGTGCTAGCACGGACTCGACCTCGTACTCGGGTTCATTGTGGACGAGGACGGGCGGCGGCGGCGGCGGCGGTTGGCGTCCGACGAAGATCGTGTTCGGATCCCGGTAGGGCTTCAGAAGCTGGACATGGAAGGCGTTGTGAATCTTCCAGGTAGCTGGCAGGCGTAAGCGGAAGGTAACAGGAGTGACCTGTGCTTCAACGAGAAAAGGCCCGCAGAAGCGAGGTCGAAGTTTAGATGGGAGGTGGCTGATGTCCAGGTTGCGGGTGTCAAGGAGCACCTGGTCTCCTACCGTGATGGTGTGGTCGTTGCGATGGCGATCGGCCTGGCGCTTTTGTTGCTGTTGAATGTCGAGGAGGCGCTTATGGGTCCGATCCCAAAGCTGATGCATGGTTGTGATGAAATCATGTGCAGGTTGTACCGTAGCAGATGTTGTCGGTTTCTGTGGTGTGAGTGGGTGGCGTCCGTAGCAGAGGAAGAACGGCGTCTGTCCAGTAGCGGCATGCGTAGCATTGCTGTAAGCAAACTCTAGTACGGGCAGGTGCAAGTCCCATTTGGAGATGTCGTCCTTGCAGGCTGCTCGGAGGAGTTGCTCAACAATTTGGTTGAGGCGCTCGGTCTGTCCGTCTGTCTGCGGATGGTATGCGGATGACATGGCGAGTTTGGTCCCGAGAAGAGACATAAGTTCCTTCCAGAACTTGCTGGTGAACTTGGGGTCTCGGTCGGAAATGAGTGTGGTTGGGATGCCATGCTGGGAGATGATGTGACGAACGAAGAGCTGTGCTGTCTCCTCGGTGCGTGCTGTCATGTGTGTCGGGATGAAGTGTCCCATTTTGGAGAACTTGTCAATGACGACAAGGATTGCGTCATGACGGCTGGTGGTAGGTGGTAACCCGGTGATGAAGTCTAGGCTAACCACTTGCCATGGCTGTTCTGGGACAGGAAGAGGCTGCAGTAGTCCCGCCTTTTTCTGCTTGCTGCTCTTCATCCGCTGACATGTCTCACACGAGGTGACGAATTTCTGGACGTCGTCTGCCATGTGGGGCCAGTAGTAGTTTTTGGCGATACCGGTGAGCGTCTTGTTGCTACCGAAGTGTCCGGCGTACAGGACGTCGTGGTATTCTTCGAGTAGTAACTGGCGCAAAGGAGGGTAATTTGGTACCCAGATTTTTGTTGATCCTTTCCGGTACGCGATGTCGCTGTCCCACTGTAGCAGATGTCGCTTTTCTGCCAAGGGAATTTCGGGGTCGATGGCGTACCCGTGTGTGAAGAGTCCCTTGAGTAGTGGATTCATCCCTTCAATCTGAATGGCGGCAACGTGTGCAGGCCAGCTAAGAGCGTCTGCTTTGTTTTTGTGACCGGGCTTGTACACGATGTCGTAGTGGAAGTGTGTCTCGAGGAAGTCGATCCACCGGACCTGCCGCCTGGAAAGATTGGGTTGTGTCTTCAAGTATTTCAGGCTGCAGTGGTCGGTGTAGACGGTTGTTCGTCATCCTTCGAGATAACATCTCCACGCTTTAAAGGCGATGACGATGGCAAGGGCCTCTTTGTCGTGTATCGGGTAGTTTAGTTCTGCTCCGTGTAGTTTCTCTCTGAGGTAGGCGATTGGTTGCAGTCCATTCCCCTGGTCTTGCATTAAGACTGCCCCCACTGCCTGGTCGCTGGCGTCAGCTTCGATTACGTAGTCGCGTTCGGGATCTGGCAAGATGAGTACCGGTGCGGACGTGAGTGCTTGTTTCAGCTGCTCCACGGCTTCCTGGGGCTTTGGTTCCCATTTATAGGGCGTGTTCTTCTTCAGCAGATTCGTCAGTGGTGCTGCGATTTTCGCATACTATGGCACGAACCTGTTGTAGTAATTAGCGAAGCCTAGGAACTGCTGCAACTCCTTCACGTTCTCGGGTGTCTTCCACGTGCGTACGGCCTCGATTTTCTTGGGGTTGACGTGAACTCCTTGAGCGCTCACCATGTGACCTAGGAACTGGACCTTTTCAAGGGCGAATTCGCTCTTGGACAGTTTGACGTAGAATCGTTCCCGTCGAAGAATTTTGAAGATGCGTCGCAGGTGTTCGACGTGCTGCTTCATGTCACGCGAGTAGATGAGTATGTCGTCCAGGTACACCACCACGCATTCGTCCAGAAGTGGTCGTAGAATGTGGTTCATTTCGGTTTGGAACGTTGCCGGCGCGTTGGTGAGTCCGAACGGCATTACCAAATACTCGTACGATCCGTACCGATTTCGAAAAGCAGTTTTGTGGATAGAGTTGACCGCCATCCGTATCTGCCAGTATCCGGACCGCAGATCCAGTTTGGAAAATACCGTAGCTCCCCGAAGCTGGTCAAGCAGGTCATCGATTCGCGGTATCGGGTATTTATTCTTGATGGTCTGCTTGTTAAGAGCTCGGTAGTCGATGCACATGCGCAGGCTTCCGTCTGGTTTCGGTGTGAAGAGTACTGGGGCACCGTATGGCGAAGTGGATGGACGGATGAGTCCTTTGGCTAGGAGATACTCGATCTGTTTTTTCATGTCAGTCAGCTCCGTAGGGCTGAGCCGGTATGGTGCTCGGAAGGTCGGCTTCGAACCCGGTTCCTCCACGATCTCGTGTTGATGCGTTCGGTATGGCGGTAGCTCGTTCGAAAGATTGTCAGGAAGCATGTCTTGGAACTCCTTCAGTAATTCCTTGATTTTTTCTGGAGTTTCCGAGGCTTTCTCTCCGTCACTCTCCACCTCTGTTGCTATCGCCAGGAACCCGGTGTCGGTCCGCTTCACGTCCTTCTCGAATCGTGCGAGTGTCTCCACTGGGATATCTCCTGTATCGTCCCAGTTGGGTAGCTGTACTCTCCGTCCATTGTTGTAGATGCTTGCGGTGCGGTTCACCCAGTTGATCTCGGGGTTGAATCTTTTCAGGAAGTCTCGCCCGAAGATCAAGTCAAGCCCTTTGATGTTGGTGATGGGGAGTGCAGGTCTCCAGCGCAGTGGTCCAATTCGTAGGTGTAGCACTGCTTCGCCGTGTACTGGCAACTTGCTGCCGTCCCCCATCGTTGCAGAGAATCCTGAAAGGCTTGTACTCTTCCCGAAGTCGGTCGATCACTGCCTTGTCGCAGATGGTGTGTGATGCTCCGCTATCCACGAGTGCTTAGAGGCGTCGTCCTTTGCAGATGACCTCGAGCACGAGGGGCAGTCGTTGCTCGGAGTACCCAAAGATAGTTTCATTGATTGGGTCATAGGGTACATCCCAATATTCCGTACACACCTTTGTGTTGCTATCTACTCCTGAGCTGGCAGCTGGCCGAGGCTGCTTGGAGAACGGCTCTTCTCCAGGGCCCGGAGTTTCTTTGATCACTGTGCGCGTCACTGATGCCGAAGAATTGGATGCATCCGTAGGAGAACGAATTCGGGGTTTGTGCAGCTTCTTGTAGACCCCCAGCTTCCTCTTGAGCTGCTTCAGCTCCACCGACGTCTTCCCTGGGGAACGGGTAGTCGTTGTGGGCTGGTGTCGGGAGAGGACGTTGACTCCGTGGAAAGGTCGGCTTCTTTCCACACTCCTTAATTTGGTCGGCTTCTTTCCACACTCCTTAATCTCCACAGTAGTCTGCTTCTTTTGGAGTCCCTCCCGAAATTTCTCCAAGGCTCTAGCCCCTCGAAATTCATAAGTTTTCATGAAAGCATCTTTATAAGATAGCTTTAACGAATTCTTATAATTTCTTGGGTCTTCAAGGAGTTTCCTTGTCTCGGCAGAGTCTTTTTTCGCGGAGTCGTATTTTTCCTCGGCGATTTTCCCTGGCGAGGACTGGTCGTGGGGTGGAGATTTTCCCCCATCATTTCCTCCTTCCCGCGGCCGTTTTTGGATCTTTTTATTTTCGCCAGCTAGATCCGCAATCACTGGCGACTCCCGTTTTTTGTCTTCTGGTTGGCTGAAGGAATTCTGCCACTATTGCGTGCCCGATACTCTGCGCGTGCGGTCTTCATTTTGCTGCAGTCGAAGATTCGATGACCCGGCGCCCCGCAAAAATCACACGCGTAGTTGGTGTTTTTCGGACGTGGCCGCCCCTCGAATCTGTCGACTTCCATCGGGTCGGCGAACGTGGGGTGAGCCGAGCGGTCGCCCTGTCGCGTAGTGCCGACGTGCGTCCGTCGTGTTCCGGCATTGACCATGTCGAAGCGCTCCGCGGCCGATACGACGTCACTGTAGCTCGCGTAGTTTGACGCTGCCACCTGTCGTTTGACTTCGGTCTTCAGCCCGGCGAGGTATGACTGTACTTTTTCCCCTTCGGTCAGGTCGGGAATGTGGTTATAAAATTCCTCCATCTGCTGCGTGTACTGCGCTACACTCCCGAACTGTCGGTGTCGATGAATTTTTTCCCGGGCAAGGAAACTGGAATTTATCGGCTCGAACCGTTTCAGCAAATCGGTGCGGAATTGCTGCCACGTGGCTTCACCGTGGATGAAAGTACTGTTGCCGCCAATCCACTCGAGTGCCGGCCCTTGCATCAGTGTCGCCGCGAGTCGTACACGTTGACCGTCCCAGACTGGCGAGCTCCAACCGACGGCTGCGAAGTAGATCTCCATCCCGGCGATCCATCTGCGGGCGTCGGAGTTTCGATCGCTCGGATCGAACGGCTCAGATGGGCGCGGTTTCGGAGCCTCGAGAAACTGCTGCGACTGCTGCGTCGTCGCCGTTGTCGTCTCGTGCTGCGCTCCGGCGAGTCGAGTTACTCGCTCGAACTGGTTTCGCCACGCTTCGCGATCCGCTCGCATTTCCTCCTGAAGGGCTGCGATGCGCGCGAAGAGCTGCTGGGTAACCTCGGCGTTGTCGAAGGTTGCCATCCTGTTCAAAACACGCACGGAGGGGGTAATTCGAAAATCGCGGAGCTGGTGCTTACCAGAATCGGCGTCGAATTGGTCGCCCCCGGCGGTTTTTCGAGGCAGGATCCCCGCTGCTGCTGCTTAGCTGAGCGCGGTCGAGTGAGAAAAGCTCTGATTACCAAGTGTCACAGGATCGAATGTGTCGAGGAAAGGTAATAAGAAAAGGGACAAGTGGTGTAACGGGGTCGTACTCTCACAGTAGGGAGGGAGAGTGAGAGAGATGAGAGAGTACGGAGGGAGAGTGAGAGAGAGGAGAGAGTAGGGAGGGAGAGTGAGAGAGACGAGAGAGTAGGAAGGGAGAGTGAGAGAGACGGGAGAGTAGGGGGGGAGAGTCAGAGAGACGAGAGAGTAGGAAGGGAGAGAGAGAGAGATGAGGGTAGGAAGGGAGAGTCAGAGAGACGAGAGAGTAGGAAGGGAGAGTCAGAGAGACGAGAGAATAGGAAGGGAGAGGGGCTGAGGCTGAACCCACCCAGGGAGGGAGAGTGAGGCGTGGGAGGAGGGAGAGGAGAGGTGATGCGGCAAGCAAGGAGGGAGAGAGGTGATGCGGCAAGGAGTGAGGGAGAGAGGTGATGCGGCAGGGAGGGAGGGAGTGGGGGGAATGAGAGAAGCTTCTATACAAGTGGATCAAGTCAAGGGGAGCAGACAAGAAGTGCATCAAATCAATGGGAGTAGACAAGAAAAGGAGGAAAGGGCTTCTGCAAGTTCTGCAAATGAGCAGGTCATTATATTGAAGAGTGTCAGAAACTGAAGAGCAGGAATCGGGAGAAGTCGGGTGAAGCAGCCCTTGTCAAGACTATCTCGCCACCTTCAGCTTCTTCAACTCAACCTACAAAAGGCGAGGCAATCATTTGCATGATTGGACCACACCGGTCTAGTGGTATACGCTACTGGAATCGACGAGACAATGACAGCGACAGTGATATGGAAGAAGTAGCAACCTACCTCCACGACTTCGTCCTCGTTCCGAAACTCCAGAACCAGCAATCATCAACGAAGAAGAACCAGAGCAGCCAAACGGGTTTCCTCGATGGTTGAACGTGCAGCCGTATGCCCACATCCCCAAACGTACGTATCCCAAGCATGTTAAAACTTGGTTTCTTGACAGCTGCTGCGGTCACCACATGGCGTCTTCAAGTCGCTATCTCCTCAACTGGCAAGACCTGCCAAACGGAGAAAAATACAACATCACTGTGGCCAACAATCAAGTTATTGAAGCCACCAGAATTGGAGATGTGATACTAGAGTCTGACGACACCGAAGTTTCACTTCACCTTAATGAGGTTCTCGTCGCCACGGAACTCGGCTTCAACTTATTATCACAAGAGCAGCTGATGGAAAGTGGCATCTGCTTTGTCAGCACCGGTAACACGATGCTCACGGAGTTTATACCTGGGTGACAAGAAGGAAGACAAAAACCATTTTTTCGGCATCGCATAAATTAAAGACGGCGTTTCCGTTTTACGGTTTTCACCTGTGAAGGCATCTGGCGACAGTGAGAAGAATGCCTCACTTACTCCTTTGCACCATCACTGGGATACGGACCTTCAACGGCAAGACCTTTGTGGTCTCAATGTCTTTTGCGTGACACCTCGACCTTCTCGCACCAACTCCCTCGACGAACCTGCAGTAGAGCCAACAGAAGCAGCAGCAGAAACAGTTCAAAGTACATGGGCATCTGGAGATGGAACGCACATGGGGCAAGAAAGAATTAATCTTACCTCATGCTTGGGCTTGCCGCCGACACCTCGGCATCCCTAAACCCTGAAACTGCAGAAGAAGCTGGGTTCATCCAACCTTTCGGCACCGGCCGCTGCGTTAAATCTGCGCCAACGATTCATCTTTCACTGGCCTTCTTCCTTCACTCCGACTTGTACCTGCGTTCAAAGGGACACATGACTCTTCATTCCCCTCTCAGATCCATTGCAACTTGCAACGACACAGGCTGCCTATAATTATAAGAAAACTGACGCAGCATCACATGACGGTGCCCGCCATCTGCCATCCAAAATTGATGATGATGACGTCGTTGAAGTTTGCCAACCTCATTCTCGTGGTGACCAATCAACCCTTCAAATCCTTGGACTTACTGTCGCAGTTCAGCAACCAACAACCG